CCCCCAGCAGACCAGGGAGATGCGGAGCAGCTTTTCTCAGCAGACACCTCAGTTTGAGAATAATACCCTGAGGGAAGTGAGGTGTGGGAGAATAAAACTGAGCTCTGGAGAAATGTTTGGCTAGAGTTTCCCCTACAATATGTACCAGTTCCGACTTACATACAAATTCAACTTAAGAACAAACCTACAGTCCCTATCTTGTACGTAACCCGGGGACTGCCTGTACCTATGCGGGAAAGAAATATTTAGTTAAAGCGCTCTTCAATCTAACAGATAAAGGTGTAACATAATCCAGTGCCTGACAGTTAACGCTAGACACATTTTAGTAGCTTGTATGTCAGGATATGGCATTCTCACCTTTGAATAGGACTACAGTTTAGCTGTCCACTTTCAGTCTATATTGGCACAATAAGGCCAAAATTCTACAGCAAGTTCTAATTTTTAAAGTGAAGTATTAAAATATACATCCAATAATACTTAAGAAAAATGAGATTTAAAAAAAAAAAACCAATTTGCATCAGAAGCATGGAATGATTGTTACTCTATTTCTCGAAGAGTATGTCTATAATGCAGCGCTATTTCGGGATACTTCTGGTATCCAAAAATAACTATTCTGTGTCTTGACAGCATGCCCGTTATTTTGAAATATCTTTCGAAATAACGGGTGCACTACTCCGATGTTCCTGTAAACCACGTTTTACAAAGAGTAAGGGACATTTCAGAATAGTGGTTTATTTTGAAATAAGCTCAAAATAAGCTACTCAATTTGTGTAGCTCAATTTTGTGCAGGTTATTTCAAGCTAAGCGTGCAGTGTAGATGCACCCTTAGTTTTACTGATGCCATTTTTGGAACATTGATTCAAGCCTGGAAAGTTTCTGTATATTAGTGTCTCAACTATCACTTCATCTCATCATCACATTTTTCTTTTGAATTACAAAGACACCTTAAGACATAAACCTTGTATAAGACCAGTCTTATATATACACAGAAAAGAATGAGCCTCCTTAGTGATTAAATCAATTAATGCCCCAAGAGGAAATAGAGTTGATGGGGAAAATTATTCTTTTCCATTGAACTGCATGTGTTGTGCTTTTTCGAAGTAAGCAGTAGCCTAAAGAGAGACAAAAAAATACAGTGAGCTGAGAGAAATTTCTCATATAATTTTACTCATTTAGATATCAAGTCAGAAGCTGGTGAAATGTGCTTTTACTTCCACCATCAACTGCTCCTTAAACCATGGTGGTAGTTTCCTTAATCTTCTAACATTGATACATTATCTTTAGTATTTTATTTTATTGTAATTTATGTTATGCTCGTTGGAATTTCATACATTGCCATGTCATTAACCAGCTACCTATATTCAATTTTTGGCAGGTTTACCAAAAATGCAAGTTGTTAGAAACTACAATGGAGTACCACAGCCAAATCCACATGATGGCCCGCCCTTACACATCCAGACTGGGGACACTATTGAACTCCTCAAAGGTGATGCACACAGCAGGTTTTGGCAGGTATGGGATTAGCAATGGCCACATTCCATTACTTGAGAGAGCAAACTATTACTGATTAATTGCTGCTATACTCTGTAACAAAGGATTTTAGTTTTTGGGTGCTACCAGTGCTTATCCTTTAATCCACAGCTATTGTATCTAGAGGATTGATCAAGAGTTGTCCCAATACATTTTTAAATGAGGTCCTGGGTATGAATCGTTTTACTTAAACAGTTAAAGATGATGAAAGTTCATTGCACGTAAGCAGCCAAAGAACACTGTGTGTTTTGAAGTCACGAGTCCTCTCAGACAATAGAACTAAAGAGCATGTGAGCCAGATAAAAATTTTAACTTGAATGAAAATAGCAGATTTATTTGGAGGGAAAAAATAGCTATGAAAGATTAAGACAGATTATTTGTTTGGGAGAGCCTAAGTCAAATAATTGCCATTTCATTTTTTAGGAAAACTATAATATATTGATTGGATAAAAGAGTTGTTTCCATGGCAACTCAATGTCACATAATTCTAGTTGCTACTTCTGTTACATGCCAAATACAAATTGAAACTACTTCAGCTTTCACATTTTGCTGTAAAGATAGGCATAAGAATTTTAATTTTTTCAATTATATTTTCTTGTTTGTTTTTAATTTGTCAAAATGTGGGTTTTGTGTGAGTGTGCACAAAATGGAAAATTTGAAAATTAATACCATTTGAGGAAAACCTGATGGTAAAGTAAATGAAATAAATGCAAGGGCAGTTGAAAGTTAGAGCTGTTCCTGTGTTTTGTTATTGAGACTTTGTCTCTGAGAATGCAAACGATATATTGATAACCTTTTTTAGCCTTTGGACATATTTTATTTTTGTAAATTACTTTTATTCACAACGGGGAGCTTTCCCCTAGCAGTCTAGAACCCCCAGCCCCTGTGCATGGCAAAGGCTGCAGCAGTCAGCCAGTTAATAAGCCAGCCCAGAGGCAAGGCAGGCTGCCTCAGCTAAACAGTCAATAGCCTGGCCTGCAACACAGGGCAAAGGCTGCAATCAATAAACAGTTAGAGGCCCAGCCCTAGGGCAGGACAAGGGCTTTACCCAGGGCAAGTCAACCAGTTCACAACCTGTAAGCACAGGTAAGTAGTCTGTCGTCTTGTTCAAGAGGGGTTCAGGCACCTTGCCTGTGGCTACCAACTACAGGAGGGGAGACTGCCACCCAATCAAGGGTTAGCAGAGGGGACATGGGTCCTCCCTACACCACCGTGTCCCAGCCCAGAGGCC